CTGAATGTGCAAAAGCACAGTTAGATCCCTCACTGAGGAATTTCCCACAATTCCCTTCTCCCTGCAAAGGTAGGATCCAGGCACATTTGCCCAGTATTTGCCAGGCTTTTTATAACAAAAATCCTCACAGCACCCCTGTGAGGCTGGAAAGTGCTGCACCATTTGAGCATCCATCCTTTCTTCAACCTGGCAACAGCACCTTGTTTTTACACTCCTGTCCTTTTTAATCACCATCCTGTCAAAGCTAAGTATCAAATAAGAGACAGGTCCAGAGCCATAGTCATGAGCTCATAACGCTTAGACTAAATATTAGACCACAGATCAGATGTCACTGTTGCTAGCCCAAGGATAGGTGGTGGTGTGCAAACTGCTGCCACTCTCTAGTGCCCTAAATGGCCCAGAGACTTCCTAGATCCTATGTAGTGTGAACCAATGGGAATGAAGGATAAGCTAGCCAATCAGGCAAGAGACATGTAGGGATAAGTAAGCCTATTGCAGGGGAGCATGAGTCCTCCCTATCTGTGTGAGGGTGGGTCATCACATACCCTCTACAACCAAAACCATGTGGGAGACATTGGGACAAAATGAAGCCCCAGAAAGGCCCTCTTTTTCTATAACATTACAGTTACAAGTAAAATGCTTCATTTGTTTCACATAAAGTTAGGCAGAGCCTCTTTGGTTATGCATGACTTGAATGAGGGGGTAGAAAGCTCAGTCATCAAGTTCATGGATGATACCAAGCTGTGGAGAAACACAGGCACATCAGAGGATAGGACAAAGGTCCAAGACAACCTTGACCAACTGGATTTATGGGCTAAACAGAATCAGATGAGGTTTAACAAGAAGTGCAGGGTTCTTCATCTGGGTAAGAAGAACCTTCACCATATCTACACAGTGGGTGATGATGCACTGGCTGGCACAGCATTTGAATGGGACCTGGGGGTCACGATAGGCTGGAAGATAAATATGAGCCAACAGTGCAATGAGGTTGCCATAAGGGCAAATACAACTCTGGTGTGCATCAGCTGATGTGTGGCCAATAGATCCAGGGAGGTGCTTCTCCCCCTGTATTTGGCATTGGTGAGGCCACAGCTGGAGTACTGTGTCCAGTTCTGGGCACCGCACTTCAAGAAGGATGTGGATAAGCTTGAGAGGGCACAAAGAAGGGCCACCTGTATGATTAGATGCATGGAGGACAGGCCCTTTGAGGAAAGAGACTGGAAACTGCGCCTGTTCAGTCCAAGTAATAGAAGGCTGAGAGGTGATTTGATAGCTGCCTACAAGTACTTCAGGGATGAGCATCAAGATCTAGGGGAGCAATTCTTCAGGAAGGCACCTCAAGGGAGGACGAGGACCAATGGGCATAAGCTAATAGAACATAAACTCAGGTTGGAAATAAGAAAAAAACTTTTTCTCTGAAAGGGTCAGCAGAATCTGGAACACACTCCCAGCAAAGGTGGTGCAGTTACCATCTTTGGAGGTGCTCAAGATGAGACTGCACAAGCACCTTGTTGAGCTCGTCTGAGCCCAATAACTTCCTGCCCATGGCAAGGGACCAGTCATGATGAGCTTCATGATACTGCAGATACACTGGTAGCAGTACACAAGTTATATAATTTAAAGGTACCTCAGGTATATCTATGGTCAAAGCAGTGATGGCAGAACAGGATACTGCCATGGTCCTGTCATTCTGTATTCAAATGCTGGGAAAAAGATATAAGCACAAGGTCAAGTTAACAAGCTACCACTTTTAAGATGACCAGAGGCTGATCAGCGCTCATTTAGGCTTCACTAATCATATATGGTCCTGACTCACATGAGGTAAGAACTATATTGGTGTGAAGACTAGTGTTCACTTTGTTTGTCCTGTGTGGAGAATCATACAGTGAAACAATACACTGAACTGTAGTCCAATCTCACTAAAGCCTTTGTAAGAATTTGTATTATTTTTTTTTAAGGTACTTTTTAAAGTTCAGTGGAAGTGCTAGGGAACTGAAGTAACTCACCTGTCTACTATTAACTTGGCTGTAGCATCAACTTACTGTGCTTGGTTTATCATCAGATAGTATTACCTTGTGGTCAACACTGGGGCAGTCCTGCATCAGATTCAGGGCTTTGTTTTTCAAGCAATTGCTAATAACATGAATATAGATTTTGAATTGTAGCTGTTCTGTAAGATACAATACTGCACAGTAAGACTGAAGCTTGAAAAGATGTAGCTACAGGGGGCACTTATTCAACAAAAATGGCTTTTAAGCACTTAGCTTAAGGTATGTAAAATATGCATTCCTTTATTTACATGCTTTATTCCAAAGGGATCCCAGATTAATGAACCTATAAAATGTATTGCACCAAAGGAACAGCTCCAAGTAGGTTCTGCATCATTTATCCTTACTCTACTCCTGTTTGACACAATGGAGACATTTGTATACCTAGAGATGCGGGATGGTCCAGTAGCTTGGAAACAGAACTTGGAAATTATGAAACCCACGTTGTATTTTCAACTGTGCTACTAACTCATGTGATGGCAAACCATAATCTAACCCTACATTTAATTTGGTTGGGGTCAAAACTAAGGGTCAAATTCTTGTATCCACTTGGCTCCCAGTGTCTACTTGTGGAGTAAGGTATTAGTCAGTGTAAATTAGGGTGGCAGGTGTGTGCCAAAAGCTAACCTGTGATGTACTAAAATGTTCTAGTGTAAACAAAAGGCTTCCAGGGTTCTGTTGTGACTATTTGGAGGTTGTCCCCAACATGCAATTATCAGCAGTAGAGATGCACTAAGTTTGAAACTCCTAAAATCAGAGCTTGAATTTGTTTCCAAGGCTTCTACAAAGGATGGAAGTTGAAGCCAGGTTCAAAGGGAGACAGCTCTTTAATCACTATATGTCATGCTGTATAAGCCTCCTTCTCCTTACCTCCCACATGGTTCATTCATTCTTTCTTCATTCAAAGCACAGCTGGCATAGACAGTATGAAGCCAAGCAAATTTATGAAGGCCCAATTTATAAATATCTGCTATGCCTAGCACCTGCCCTCCAAACTATACAGAACTGTATCACAGTTTTTCTGCATACCTCTTGTTTTAGACCAGGGGCATCAAAGACAGGGCCCATGCACCAGATTTGGCCTATGAAGCCCTATCATCCAGCCTATAGTGGTGCTGGTGGATATCAGATCAGCCTTGCATACCATGTATCCACCTTGGCCCTGCACACTGCATGTGACATGTGGAGCCAATCTGGGGTCTGTGATTTATGCGCTCTGCAGGACTGGTCCAGAGTGTATACTGAACATGGCAGCAGGGCAGGTCCAAGACAAGTGCTGCATGTGGTTCCCATGCCAGACCAACCCTGCATCCCTAATCAGGATGCAGGACTGGTCTTTGGGTCTGATGCTCCTCATCCAGTCCATGGGGCTGGATGAGTTTGAGACCTCTGCTCTAGACTTAGGAAGCAGAAACAAACAGGGTCAGATTGGTGAAAAACAAAAAGTCTGGGTTGACATAAATGCATTCATTTGGAAATAATAAATTTTGAGTTAAATGCTACCTCATGTTATCACATCTCTTTTGATTGCAACATAAAAATTTAACATCCTGATTCTGCAAGAACTTAAATAACTTTACCCATGTGCATAATCCAGCCAAGCCCAAACTACTTAATATTTAACTTTTTTTAAAGAGAAAATTTCAGTTATTGGCAACTGCAGCTATCCTAATTGGAGAATGAAGGCAGGAGGACCCATAAGCTAAAGTAAACTACTCTGAACCTTAGTGGAAGGAAAACTACTTTCCAAATAAACATTTTAAGTATCCTCGGGCAAGAAACTGTCTTACTGTAGGTTTATACCGCACCTACTGCAGCAATGATTTCTATATTATCTCTATGCTGAGCTCAGGACTGCCACTGAAAAGCAAGTTCCACCCACTTGCTTCTAGTCAGTATGGGCTTCTACTCAGGGGGCATGTCTGCACATGTGCATTTACTATGCAGTAACCAAAATTATTGCACAGGATGGGCGTGCATCTACATATGCATACCTGTACTGCATGGTAAATATGGTGATTTACGCTAACTTGAGCATAAATTTGATACCTGCATTATGTAGGTATCAGATTTATGCCTGATTAGTTACTGTGCAGTAATGCACATGTAGACACTTTACTGCCCAGTAACACTGTGTGTGTTTAGTCCCAAGTCATGCCATCCACAGCATTAATGTGCTTTAATGCCTACATGTGTAGACACTAACCTACTCCTGTTTATGGTGCAGTAAATTACTGCTCAGTAAATTTAAACCAGCATAAATGTACATGTAGACATGCCCAGTGTCAGATAGGGTCACCAGCTTAGAGTCCTAAGCACTGGTGAACCTGGCATGCACTTAACCAGAGTGGGACATGCTTCTTGGTAGCAGCCTTGGGCTTGGTACAGAGGCTGTAAAGACAGATCCAACATGTCCCTGAACCAATTGTGGTTTTGGGTGCCTGTACTATATATTTGTTTGATAGCTATAATGTGTGCATGTGTGGAACTATTGCCTATGTATATCTTAATGTATTTTAATGGAGGCAAACTGTCTGTATGGATATCATTTAATTCACCCTGCAGTTGAAAATAATATTATGCGTCTAATGCCATGTATTTGTGTCTTTGCATATTTTTTCACACAGCATTTGCATGTGGCATTTTGACAGGCTAACTCAAGTGCCTCCTCTAAGTTTCACACTTACTCCAGATTTCTGATTTTATATGGAAGGCTTTCTCTTCTCAAATGTGTTGCTAGGTAACAAGTTAACATAAAATATGTAAAACAGATTCTTGGGGCAAGGGGAAATCTGTCTGTTGTGAAATATCACAATTCTAGTCACAATCTGTTTTTCGTTCCTTAGAAAAAACATTCTCTTTTCAGATAATATTATACAGGTGTCACCTCTATACTGCAGGTTTGGTCATAATGGAATGAATGGGCTATACATCATTACAGAACACTTAACATGATAAAGCTGGTTGGGACTTTAACTGGACCTCTGAACTCCTGCTACAAAGGCACCTGAATTCACCAGATGATTACTTAACCAATGATAATACAAAGAAGGAGATTTGGCACAAGCAGTTAAATGACTCTTAACCTAACATGTCACTATAATAAATATTTGGCTGACTACAATATTTCAAAGCAGAAGATGCAGTCTTTTGTGAATCGGTAATTCTCTGGTGTCTGTCAGCTATCTGTGCAGGGCAGCTCAGAAGCAGCTCTACTATAACCCATTCTGATTAATGCTACAGTGAGTTTTTCTGACACCTGTCATTTTGCTCCGTAGGCGAATGACTGAAGAGGATGGACTTTCACCCAAGTGTAGCAATCACACCAGTCCATTACAATAAAACATTAACTACCTTCCTCAGCAGGTGAAGTGAAACCCTAACTTGTTTTCTTGAATTAATTCTTCTCTCTCTGTTCCAGGTCCTGCTGGCTGCCTCCTCTTATACAAGACAACATAAATAGTCCCAGCTTTGGATGGATTTCTACAGCTCTTCTAAACTTCCTTGGAAGAGCAGTGTTTTGTCTTAGTCAGGTCACTGGTTTCTCACACTGTATGAGAACACTTTGGGAAAGGCTCATTCTGGGCAATAAACACTGAATGTACCTGAAGCATTTTAGAAAGAATAAGCATGCTAGTGAGGATGACCAGTAAAGATAATATATTGGCCGCCCACATCATTCTCAGCTACTCATAATTAATTCCTTCTCTAAGTTTGCTCTCCATTGTTTACTTTCTTGGTTTTCATAGTTTATCATTAATGCCTTAGGACTTCCAGTTCCCCATTTATATTTTGTTTTTGTCCCTATGTGGGCGTTGTTGTTTCTTTTGCCCAATATGTGCTTAGACTACACCAAACACCACAGATTGCTTATAACTGAGCTTTTAAGTTACATGGGTGTCCTGTTAAAAATATCTTACTTAACATAAGACCACACAGGAAGACTGAAATGTTTTCAGGGGTGGCACCAGGAGCTAGCTCTGTGGTTACTGGTATTTTCTCTGGATGAACTATCCCCATGACTTAGATCTCAACAAGGACTGCTGGCCAAATCTACACCTAACCCAAAACACTAGTGTAGCCCTCTGTACATATTATAAAGCTTATAGCAAAAATTAAGGATGTGTTTCTGGGCTGGGATAACTTGAGACCTGTGATAACTAAACATACAGAACAGCAAAATGACTAGAAAGGAAGTGGTCAGGGTAAGAAGGAAAGAGAAAATGGGGTAGTAGGTAGAGAATCCACACACGGGTAGGACTGACATGCTAGAAAACAGTTTCTGACATGTGGGTGTCTGTGTGTCATTTGGGAGGAACAAATCCACCAGGAGAGGTAGAAGGGAGGTACGTATCACATGTTCAATTTTGTGACTCCATCTGGTGCACAGGAGACACCCCCCAACATAGCAGATGAGCTGGGTGAGTCAGTCTGTTTGGTCAGGTTTTCATACCCTGTTGTTCCTGAAGTTTTATCTGGTTCACATGTTTTCAACAGGGTTAATGGAGTTAATGTAAGTAAATCTTTAAAAAAAAAAAAGAACAGCCTTTGAACTCACCATTCATTTATTCTGCACAAGCTCTCCTCTTATCCTCATGGAAGGTATACTTGTGTAAGAGCACATATATCCTAAATTATAGAAAGATAATGCTGATCTCATTCAGACAAGATGTCAACACATTATTATACATAAAGAGTCTGACAAAGTCAGTTAAATTCAGTGAGAGTTCTTCCACTGACTCCTTGGGCTTTACTTCCCAGTTACCCCCAATATTGCATTCTCAGCTGTAAAGCTTGTACTTGTATTACCATGTAGCCATCATTGTTTTCAGAAGAGCTATTCATTTATTTGTGGGACAAAATACACTTTCAGAGTTTACAGTAACCTGTTATCCTTGTATTCAGGTGACAAAGATTCTTTCTTTCCAGCATCTCACCAACCAGAGACAGTAAAATCTCACCTATAATATAGACCGAGCAGTGCTATCAGAAAATAAAACAGACACTGTAAGAAGAGGGAAACACCATGGCTTTGATGTGGTTATTTAAAAGTTTGGTTAGAGGTCTCATATTTGAGCCAATTTATCAGAAGAGTAAGTAAAGCAATTAGTGCCATAACTGCACTTACTTTGAAATGCTAATACATCAGCATGACCCTTAACTTATCAGTCTGAACAACAGCTGGAGAAGACTTGAGGTGAAAATGAATGTGTCACACACTTCCAAAACTAATGGCAACTTACATGGGAGTACTGAACTCAGAAGGACATCATTATGTTGTCCTCATGTTATTATCTGACTCCTAGCCCCCACAGGATTTCTCTCACATCAGCTTGAGACAATTACTGTCCCAGATGGTAAATTCTTATAATCTTGCAGGTCCTATATACAACACAAAATGTCTGTGTTAAAAAAAACTCACTGTGAAAAACAAAGCCAGCCTACACTGGTTTGACATACTGCAAGGGCAGCACTCATCTTCCTTGTTTTTTACATGTGGCATGCTACATGATATTTTTGCTTTGCTTTCATAAAATGCTGTCATGCACGAGGAGGTCTGGAGAGGATGATGCTTAGAATGCTTTGGATAAATGGTTGCCTGTCAACTCAAGGGACTGGATTCAGGAGCTTGAAAGGCCCCTTTTAGATATATAAAATTGACCAGAAAGAGACTGTTAAATTCCTAAGTCATGTCTAGTTTTGTAACAGAATGCTGTTGGTCCATGCCCGGCAACCAAAATGTTTTAAAACAATATTAGGCTGAATATAAATTTTAAGATGTAGTAGGAGTGCTATTATGAAAGGGATGGTCCAGGAAATGTGCAAGAAGTAAGGGGCTTTAGGGATATATCCTTTATTGGACCAGCTGAATAAATGGGAGAGATGTTAGATAAGCTTTCAAACAAACTGTCCTTCCTCACCTCTGGGAAAGAAGTAGAGACAGCCTAAGCTAAATACCAGCTAAAGCAATTACTTTTGCTTAATTCCATTACATAAACAAAAATAGTCACTTTAAGAAATGGAAGAAGTCTGTAACATATGGAACAAAGAGAAGTTATCAGCAGTAGCTACAATACAAATAGAATTTTAAAATTGTTCAACAGGTAAGACAATTTTGTTTTTCTACCATAGATGGGGTTTCAACCTATTGATTTTTCAGGAACCCATACCAATAAACTAGACTAACTATTCAATCAACCACTGCCTTCTATTAAGTTATAAGAATTTTGTCCTGCAGCAGAACTTGGTCTGCTCTGATCTGAACACAAGACTCAAGCCTGGGGCAGAAGATTCTCAATCATGGGTCATTGTACAAATAACGGAGTGAGCAATGAGCAGGAGAGGCATACTGTGGTTCCTCAGAGATATTCACCTTTAATGTCAACAATGAAGAGCTTTCTAAAAGACTGCTAGAAAATCTAAAGTAGCAGTACTGGCTTGTACAACAGTGCTCAGAAGTCATTGTCTTATTTCACCATTATATCTGAGATCATCAAAGCTAAGACTGATTTGGGATGCAAACCAAAGCCTCAGCCACTTTAAGAAATAGAGCTTGAAACAGTAGAACTTGTATGTTCAGATGCCAACATTTTATTAATAACTTGCTGGTTACTTAACAGAGGTAGATGCTTTTATTCTTATACTGACAGCAAGATGTAGTAAAACATTCTCTCTCTCACCTTGAACACTTCATAACATAAGATGGATTCCTCTTTTAATGAAGCAACATGGGAGCAGAAAACTTGTATGTAGGAGTGTATGGTACAAAGTTCACTAACAGATGCTTCCCAAACCTCTGATGCATCTTCTTCCATGGAATCATAAGGCTGGCAGGTACCTCAAGGTCATCTGGTATTGTTAACTCCACAAAGAATTTGGTTTTGTCTAAACTACCGTTAGCTTTGAAACCACTGTTAACAGTGACTCATCTGGGATAGCATAAAGATATGCTTACTGTTTCAAGGAGCTGGCACTTCACAGAAACCGCCATGACTTAGAGCAACCCCTCTCCCCCAACCAACAGATATCCACCTGTTGGGTCAGGGGCAGGAAATTGAGCTCCACTTTGGAGCTGATCCAGCAAAGGAGCCTGCTTGCAATCAATCTCCCCTAGCCCTGTATCACTGCCTCCAGGCTCTGGTGCTGTTTGCAGGATGGGAGGGGGAAGGAGCTGCATCATAGGGTTTGCCCAGCCTGAGCTGGAGGGGAAGGGGACCAAGGAACACGGGGGTGGAGCATGAGGCAGGGGGGCTCCAATCCATCCACCCACATCCAGCTCAGGCCTGGCAATCCCCAGCCCATAGCTCCCTCCACCCCCTTCTCCCCCATCCCTTCCTGCAGGCAGCACCAGGGACCTGGAGCACCTGAAGCACCTCCATCTGATCCCTCATTAGAGGAGGATTAATTTGCCATGCAATCAGCCACTTTTAAAGCATCCTGCAACTGTGCACTTCTGTCACAGCACAGATATAGAACACTTTCAGGGCAACCATGTGACATGTTTCACTTCTGTCAGTGCCCTCAGTTTCTCCCCTGGCTGGTTTGGCACACTGTTGACTAAATGGCACGTGCCCCTGAGGAGAGCTGAAGGACTAGCATTTGCTTTTTTGTTTGTTTGTTTCCTATAGCTCCTGAAGAAGAGATCTTTGCCTTTGTTCAGCATACCAAAATAAACCAACTAAACCACCAAATCAACCATCTAGGCAGAGGGGAACCTGAAACATAAGAAAGAGGAAACTTAGGGACCTTATTGAAGGCCAGCAGGTTATTTCTTCTGAGAAATGATTTCCCCTGAGACTTTTGCCTTCCAGAAGCACATTCTACATCTGCTCTGTTTAGTGTACAGAACACAAGAGGTGCCACAGATCCATCCAGCAGCTCACAGTGACACAGAGTGGGGAAAAAGCAGGGCCTATTCAGACCATCCTTCTTTCTCTATAGCTTTCAGAGTCCTTGGAAAGCCTAATTTAGAATTTTTATTCCTATTATATTTAATATCCAGTGATGGATTTATCCTACCTGAATTTGCCCAATCCCATTTTGAACTAGGTTAAATTATCAGCTTTTACCGCATGTTATGGCAATGAGTTCCATAAGTTAATTATATACTGGGTGAAAAAAAAATACTTCCTTTTGTTTACTTTAAACCTGATACCTAATAATTTCATTGTGTGTCTCCTAGTGCTAGTATTGTGAGAAAGAGTAAATGTCTATTTACTTTCTCCACAACATTCATGATTTTATAGATTTGTACCATATTCCCCTTCAGAGATACCAGGTAACATGCAATCTCTCTGGTTTGATGGGAATTTGTTTGTCTTTGCTTTGTATATTGGACCTGGACCCCAGAGGGGCCAACTTTTTGTACCCCAAAACCCTGAATAAAGTACTTAAAAAGTCAAAAGTCCTTCCTTCCTTTCTATGTTGAACTCATTCATTTCATGTTTACTGGCTGTATCTACAAGAGACACTGGGCAGTCATTACTGCACAGTCATTTAGTACTTGTATAAACAAGTACTAACTAACTGCACAGTAACCAGAGTTACTGTGCAGTAGTTAACACTGAATGGCCTTTTCACGATGGTGACTGCAGTAGCCCTAGATTACTG